CATTCCTACAGTAAAGCACAGAGGTGACTGTGTTGTCCTGTTGTGTAATTACAACAATTCTTTAAGGAGGAATGGGCAAATATTCCTCCCTCTAGGTGTGCAAAGCTGGCAGAGATCTATCCAAACAGACTCAAAGCTGTAATTCAAGCAAAAGGTGCTTCCACCAAGTATTAATTCAGGGGGTATTCTCTTATCCAACCCAGTTATTCTACTTTTTAATTTTTTTTCCAGAAATTTTGCTTTCTTTTTTAGCTTGGATGTTGCAAGGTACAATTTGTAAATAAAACTGGAAAAAGTATGGTTTTATTGGTCATCTTTCTGGGTTTTAGGGCAATAAAAGGTGAACATTTTGAAGGGAGTGGTGACTTTCTGTACCCACTGCATATGATAATTAAAGTACAAATGCAATGACTCTATGTTAAAGAAGTGTAACTTATAGTAATTGGCTAAAATAAACATGGATCCCTCCTTAATCTTAAAAATGTGCTGTTTTGATATTAACAAAGCTACAGCATTGAAATAAGCCTCAAGAAGCTGACTGTATAGAAGCAGTGTTCAAAGAGTGCCTGACAGCCTATGAATCCCTTCTGTTAAAAATCCTGGTGATGAGAAACCCTGCTGAATTCCCTAAATCCCTTAATCCACACTGATGTTTCATGGGGACAGGCAAGATTTCAATAATCCATTGAGCAACAGCTGTGAACAGCACACCTTTCTGATACGAGACTATGTGCCGTCAACAGACGACAATTTCATTAACATCAGACTTGCCCGTTTGTCTCTGTGGCTGGACTGACAGGAACTGTACTCACTCACGCATGACCAATCAGAACAATTGATGCTCTTCAGGGAAGCGGACATGTATTAGGCAATCGATAAAGACGATTCTGCACACTTACTACACAAGACCAGACGCTGTCCACCCCATAGATTTAACTTTCAGCCTTTGATCTGTACAGAAACATGAACCGTCTTTTCCAGGAAAATAAAGTTCAGGAAATACATTAGGCATGCTTCCTCGATGCGGTTACGACAGCACTAACCCGTTCGCTTCAGCAGCAGATGGAAACCACAGAGCAGATTGGTCGCTATGTCTGGCCTTGAGAGGCCAGTGGACACTGCGAGCTGTGTGGAGGATTACTTGACATCTCTGGTTCTACAAGGCTGCACTTGGTGAGAGTCTTACCTTTATGGGATCGTCTCTACGGTGTGGGGGGTCAGACATATTAGCAGGCAGGTCTCCACTGGAGTTCCCTCGGGCTCTATACTTGGCCATATTCTTAGATGAATTGAGGTACATTTTTATCTCTGGGTTGAAAATATTCTGCTTCACTTGCAATCTAAATCTGACTTTGAAGTGGCTACCACCAAGTGCACAACTCGTACTGCCGATGTTAGGCATCAGATAAAACCACCCCCAAAATCCAACCATTGCCACTGAGGGAGTTCAAAATGAGAGCTGTGGCAAAATAAAACACCAGGGAGTCATTTCCGATCTTGCTTTGACATCAGCGACGCATGCTCACATCATCACCACAAGAGGAGGTGAGGGAAATTTCACAGCTCTGTCCTGTACTGTGAATGCCTGCTGGGGAGAAACCAGCATTTGCTTTTGCCATGCCCAGACTGGATTACTGTCCTGTCCTCCCTGCTGGAGCTAAACGTCAGTATGTGCACAGTTCTGCAGCTCGTATTTTTTTAACCTAGATTTGCGTGGTTTTATGCATTTGTTTTAAGTCATAACATAAGACATCGTTCCACCATACATTCATCTTCTAAGTGGTTTTCCCCAAGTAGAAGGTCATGGGGGAGCTGGAGACTGTCCTGGCAAGCAACAGGCGCACGTCGGGACACACCCTGGATGGGACACCAGTCCATCACAGGTTATACGCAGACAGAAACACACACACACTGACACCAGGACCAATTGTCCCAGAAGCTAGTTAACCTAGCAGTATATCTTTGGACTATGGGGAAAAAACAGAGCAGCTGGAGGAAAGCCACACACACCTGGGGAGAACATGCGAACTCCACCCCGATAGTACCTGTTATCTGGAACTGAACTCTGAAGGGCCCCACCGCTGCCAGCTTTTGTTTTTACGAACATTTTTTAATCTAAAAGTTGCTTTATAAAATAAAGACTAATTAACAGACTGCCCCTCTGCTCCCAAGTGAAACACCGCAACCCAGCTGTCTAGAACACAGAAAACAATGCTGCCTCAAGTTACACAAAAGAAGGGCATTTTTCCTTTCCTGTCTGAAAGTAAACCAAAGGCTTTTTCAGTTTTAATCAGAAATGAAATACTTTAGATTGGCTTTCTTCTGAAACAAGATAAAAGAACCTAACAGCACATAGGGCAGAGATATTTTACTACGGTCGGACTGTATTAATAAAATGCTTTTTTTTTTCCAAATTCCACCAGCCGGTGGGATTATTGTTGCTCTATTGATAATCCATTATCTCACTGGCCTTTTGTCTTACTTCAATGGAATAAGCATACAAACACAAATACTTTTTCATTACATTCACTTACAAAAAAAACACTATCTGCACTACAAAGTTATGTAACCCACCTATTGATTTGCCTCTTATCACACAATCAGGCTACTGTTTTCACAGCATTGAACTGATACAACTTGCATGGAATTTTGATAACCTCGGGATAAAAACATCTTTTTGCTCCTTGGTAGTTTAGTATGTAAACAGTTTTAAAATGACCATTTCAAAGGAATTAGACTGATAATAAGAAATATTTATGGTTAGAAACAGAACTAGCTGCCTTTATGCTCTATTACAGCTCTGAAGTGCTTAGATATTTTCTTGAGAAAGGGAGAGCATAATTCATTAAAAAACAACATCAAAAGAAAACCAGTGCTTTTGTAGAGTGACAGTACACTTGACCGTCTGTGAGAAAAATATATGGGCTAATTCAAATCGACAAATCAGTTATGCATTACTCATTAAAGAAAGTGTAATCTTCCTCTAAAAAGGGCTTCATAACGGTTCCATAATTCTACTTTTTACTGGACAAAGTGGTTCCATGTTGTTTCTGTTATTGTTAATTATAACATGTTGTCATTACTTTAAAAACAACAAGACAAATTAATAAAGCAGAACTGATAATTGAATCACAAAACCTGTTTTGTTTGAACCATGCAATTGCTAGAATACAGACCCCGACGTCATTCATGACAAACAGGATTTAACAGTTAATTTCTATTCATGTATTTAGGCTGTCAATATTGTCTGCAGTGAACTAACTTTTGTTTTTTGTTACTTCTCAGAGCTTGTCCTCTGGCAGTATCAAAAGTAAAAAGCAGATCTGCCCTGCTAGTAGTGCACCATCATCCATCCAGAATTAAAATACTTCCTGAAGTCTGGTCTTCCTCATTTTCTCCTTTGTGTCTGCCCATGCTTAAGTCCTGTAAACTTTGACTAATGCAGTGTCCCCATAGAAGAGGAAGCTAGAAACAGTCATGCTGTTCAATTGCTTTTGCATCTGAAACTGCAGTGTAACAATCTGTTTTCACTGTTTACACATCTATTTCTATTCCAAACAGCCTATTTACTTCATTCTTCTGTTCTTTTACCTGTTCTATACCTGCACACAAAGCTTCATGA